GAATTATCGCACCATCTAACCATCCACAAGGACTTCCAATGAGTGCAAAATCCCTTTCAGTTAAACTGTGAAGTGAACTTGTCTTATCAACATTTAAGTTATTAGTAGTTCCAATGAATAAGACATCTGGGTCAGTTTTTGAGGTTTGAGAGCCCATGGAGGTACATGTCGATGGCTCACTTTGAAGGGTTTTAGAAGGTATGCTGGCTGGTGATGATGAACTGCTTATAGGGGTCTCTGAATTGAAGCAGACAGTTTCTGATGGCCTGCTTTTAGGTGTGGCAATCCTGCAGTTATTACAAACCCAGGTTGTTCTAGCATTATTTGGATACCGTTTTGTATGACATGCATGCCACATGAAAGAACTTCCCACTTGAGCATAGTTCATTGTGACATTTCAATAACTATTCATGGGGTTCAGCTTTCTTTTGACACACGCAGATCTTATCCAGCTTTGCTGCCTCAGCCATGTACTGATCTTTCAAATCTGGCATTTTCTTGGATTTTGGTCTTGCAAACTGGGATAACTTTCTACAGTGTGGGCAGTACCAGACTTTTGTTACTTTCAGTTTATCAATACACAAGCAAGATGGGTGGAATATAGACACTTTGCCTTCAGGATTAGCACAGGTAACTGTTTCCTCATTTGTGCTTTTTCTGCAGTAACAATCACCTGATGGCCAACTTTCCCTTGCACTTATCTGAGATTTTAAGTCCATATTTCTAGTGTACCAGCGACCTAAAATTTCTGGCAATACACAAATTCTCCAGTATGTCTCTAGCTTAGTGATTTGTGTTTCGCAGTGTTTAATGTCTGGTTAAAGTCTTTGCTTCACAAACTGATGTGATGTTCCATCTGTGGCAAACACAATGAAATCCAAATAAGCTCTCCCAGCAGTATGAATTTGTTGTTGAGATTGAAAGTAATAGTCATGGTCTCTTTTTAACATAAATTCATCTCCATGTTTCTCTAAACAAGAGGCTTTCATTTGCACATAACTGTCAAAGTCAAGGACCTCGATGCAGAAGGGGCATTTCACTTTTCCACAGCCCTGTCCACAACAATCACACTCACAAATAAAATCTGGGGTTGCATGCAAAAATTGATAATTGTTATTAATGATTATCCCACATTTGGTGACTACAAAGTTTGCATGAGTCTCTTTCATGGTTTTCTCATAAGCTTCGATAGCTAGCGCTTCGTGTTTACATCCATGTTTTGTGGCTGTGGTACTAAACCGAAAAATATTTGGATAACATATGGTTTTGATCAAAGATTGCGATGGCTGTGATGGATCTGTGTGGCTCGCTGCACGGCACTTTGAAGCACCTATCCTTCCAGCCCTGTGTCTAAAAAAGGCACTTCCTCTAGCCTGGTGAATAGTGTCCCTTTCAATTGCCTTTATTTGTTCCCCAGATAACTTTAAATCAACTTTGTAGCACTCCTGGAGGAGTTCAGGGTAAGATAAATCAAGATATTTCTTTTCATACAAATCTGGGATAGCTTTGATATCCTGGGTGGTAGAAATAAATGACTCAGAATGTGGATGGATCAAACTGAGGCAAACCGGTTTGACTCTGCACTCAGTCAGTGATTTGTAAAATTGCTGCAATTCATCCTTGGATGGTGGCTTTAATGCTGGCTTGTTCTCTGCAGGTGTGGGTTCATTGGACTGAGCGGCAGAACTTGATCCAGTGCTCGAGAAATTGACAGATTCTATTGACTTGTCAAGTTTACTTTTTATTTTCTTGGCCGACGCAAAATTAATATTCTTCACTCTCGCATACTCTACTTGTTTTACTGCAGAAGGTAAAAGCCATGTACATTTCACCTGAGTGCATGCAAGTTTTCCATTCAATCTTGTCCAGACCTCCAGATGAAAAAGAACACTCGCGATATGAGAACAGCATTCTCCCAGCCCAGCCATACATCCAGCACAATGTGCTGAAACAACAGTTCCTTCTGTGGTTGTTATGATCCAGAGCTGCACGTGGGGGTCATTCATCCTTTGCGAATGCCTTACTTTAGCAAGAACAACAAATTTATCTTGGATTATTTGGCCAAGAACACTTGTAACAAATCCAGAAACCACTTGATTGTAGGCAAGTAGGCTTCGAAAATTCTTGAATTGATCCTTAGTGTAGAAGCTGGTCTCGAGCACAAGATATGACAAAATATCACAAGCTTCGACAGGAGGAAGGCATTCCGAAGTATATTTCTGCACCGGAACGAGCAAAGGATCCACGCCGATCACTGAGATCTTTTCGACATACCTTTTCTTAATACTGCCTTCCAGTGAATTGGCATAAGCGGAAAATATAAGCTTGGAATCCGCAATCGCTTTGTCCGAAGACACATATTTTTCCAATTCACTGACGGCCATCTCCAGAATCACTCCTCCAACATGGCGGCGCCTCGTTTTCCAACATTTCTATGTCGTCACGCGAACAAACTCTATGAGATAGCTTTAGTCATTTAAAAAGTGCGAAGCCATCGCGTGAGTTGAAGTCTAAAGCAATAGCTTGATGTTTCCAAGTGCTTCCAGGTTAGAGACTTCTGGTTGATTTGAGGATCGTTTTCTAACTCACTGTGCTGTGGCTTTCTACAATAAGTGTAGGCGAGATACGCGTAGAGTTAATCAGTTCCAAGTTGTTGACGTATATTTCTGTTCAAGCTATCAACTGGCTTAGGAGGTGGTCAAGTTGGTGATTCATAAACGCAAGGTGACTCACGGAATTGGAAATCACGATGTTTCTGGTCCATTTTTTATTCCGAGTTATGTTAATGTTTGCAGTGACGCAGTTTGTCAGTAAGTGTGTTTTTATCAATGCGCTAGTTTGGTAGTCACATCTGTTACAGTTAGGTTTCGTATTGGTATTGGTATTGGGTGCAGTGCGTTTCAGCAATCCTTTAATGACGGGGAATCGACTGACTTATCAATTTGAAGAATTATTAGAATTATTTCAAGACTCGTGCAGATGCAAGAAGAAAATGAAACAAGCTCCACAGTTAGCAATCTTATCAAGTGATCGTCATACACCAAAGGGACAAATGAAACAGCGCAAAATGAGAGAAATCTGAACAGGCTTCGTGATAAGACTCCTACGTTTGACACATTTGGTGTTTTGTCTGTCTTTGACACGATAATAAAATGAACTTTTTGCTCTTCCTAAAGGGTTGCTGACCTGGAATTTTTTAAACGTGTTTATTTTGTGTCGAATGGAAGAATCCATCTACATTCAATGAAAATGCTTTGCGGCTTGTGCAGATATGTACGTTTCCTAGCAATAAATGAACGATGTATTGTTTTCAAAGTACTTTCGTCGCGAAAACTGCATCGTTTCTCGGTTTGTTGTACCACGCCCTTTTTGACTCATACGTATATAAATTCTGATCCCTCTGGGAAAAGTCATCTACGCCGCTGAAATTCTACCGATCGGAATCACAACGGAACTCTGACAAACAATGAGGTGAACAATGAACTAACAATCATCTGTTATGTGGATTGATCGACAACTCACATTTTTTAAGAAGAACCGAAAATTTCGTTAGTCTGCTCTTTTTATGCAGCGAACTTGTCATTTATTCCCACATGAAGGTTATCCTCAGGAGGTCGAAGGTTCAAGCCCCGGCCGGACCAACACTCAAGGTCTTAAAATAATTGAGAAGAATTTGCTACCTTTCTATAACATCGAGAAATGGTTAGATATTCTAGTCTTCTCGGATAACGACGAATAAACGGAGGTTTCGTCTCCTGCAGGGTTGGGGTAGGAGACGTTAATTTCCCACACACGAGATTACTGTGTGATGGATGTCCTCCCCTGGGGTGGGATGGTGGGTTTGTTGTGAAGGCCGTAAGTTCGATAACTCATGGGGTCAATTACGTCACCTTCGTTAAATAAAGAATATTGTATTTTATTATCTAACTACACCTAGACGAG